ACCAACTTTCAGTGCTACGTTAATGCTATAGAAAACACAACAAGAATTAAGCGTAAGTACTAGAAAGGAAGAGAATATTTTAATTGCAAACTGATAAATAATAAGAATCTTTGGAAAAATAAAGAGAATCCACTGAAAAACTAATTAAAATGAATTTTTAACACCACTATATATCTCTTTATGTATTACACAGGCACACCCTGTTTTATAGCACTTTGCTTTATTACACATAGCAAATATTGCATTTTTTACAAATTGGTTTGTGGTAACCCTGTGTTGAGCAAGTCTACTGGTGCCACTTTTCCAATAGCATTTGCTCATTTTGTGGTGTCACACTTTGGTAATTCTTGAAGTATTTCAAACATTTGTCATTACTATTAGATTTGATCTTTGATGTTACTATTGTAGCTGTTTTGCTGTGTCCCTACAAGAGGGCGGACTTAACTGATAAAAGCTGTGTGTGTGTTCTGGCTGCTCCATGATCCAGCCATTCCCCATCTCCTTAGGCCTCCATATTCCCTAATATAAGACAATATTGAAATTAAGCCAATAATGACCCTACAATGTCCTCTAAAATGTTCAGGGGAAAGGAAAAATCACATGTCTCTCACTTTAAGTCAAAAGCTAGCAATGATTAAGCTAAAGTGTTAAAAGTCACGACAAACCAAAAGATAGGCCTCTTGAGTCAGTTAACCAAGCTGTGAACACAAAGGAAAAGTTCTTGAAGGAAATTAAAAGGGCAACTCTAGTGAACACATGAATGGGAAGGAAGTAAAAGCTTTATTGCTGATAATGGATAAAGTTCTAGGGGTCTGGATGGAAGATCAAACCAGCAACAACATAGCCTAATCAATCCAGAGCAAAGTCCTAAATCTCTTCAATTCTATGAGGGCTGCGCTGAATAAGCTGCGGAAGAAAAGTCGGAAGTTATCAGAGGTTGGTTAGCGAGATTTAAGAAGCCATCTCCATAACGTCAAAGTGCAAAGTGAAGCAGGAAGTACTTAAATAGAAGCTGCAGCAAGTTAGCCAAAAGATCTAGCTAAGGTATACAGATTTTCAATATATATAAAAATAGCCTTATATTGAAAAAGATGCCATCTAGGACCCGTGAACCTGGAGAAGTACACAATGCCTGGATTCAAAGCTGCAAAGGACAAGCTGACTCTCATCAGGGGCTAATGCAGCCGGTGACTTTAAGTTGAGGTCTATGCTGATTTATGATTCTGAACATCTTAGTCCTGTAAGAATTTTCTTAAATCTATTCTGCTGGTGCTCTTCAAATGAAACAGCCTGGATGACAGCATTATCTGTTTACAAATGGTTCACTGACTATTTTAAACCCACTGTTGACACCTACTGCTCAGAGAAACCACAACTGACAATTTTACC